TATTGATGTTTAAGTAATGAAAAGCAAAACTCTGATGAGTGCATCATAAAACAAGTACAGATTAGAAGCGTTGGCCAAACAGTAGGCCACTCAAACAGGACCATCAACGTTGCTCTTTTTTAACTTTCACATCTGAAAAAAACATTAACCTAGCTGGTTAATAACGAGAGACTGCTGGATCTGACGCTCTCTCAGTCAGATGTACTCATGCCGCCTTCTAACAGTAAAGAATAATAATAAAAAGGTTGTTTTCTGTTACACATTTCCTCAAAAGACATTGACAGAAGTGAATGAGTTCAATAAGCAATCTGTCACTTCATGAAACCTAGGACCATTTCAAAAAGATATACTTATGGTACAGTGTCATTTAAACTGAGATCCTCGAGCATCACCACTTGACAAATCTGCTCATGATAACATGTCTTGTTCAGTGTGAAGAATCAGGTGTCGCATTCACATTTCACAGTCCTACATCTGTCTGCAACAATACGTTATTAACAGACAAAACTGTGATTCCTAATGGCAGCTACAAGTGACAAAATGCATCATTTAGAGATTGTTATACTACATGTTAGAAACAACAGTGAACCTGAAAGGAAACGAAGAGAAAAAAAAAGGAAGTAAACGTCAGCAGCAACAACACAAAGACTTCAGTGTGCCGATGGAAACAGCTCATTTGCAGCAGAGCACGCTCTGATTAAGATGTTGGTAATGATGAGTCCTTGAAAGGCTCGAGTTTGTTGAACTCTTCCCTCCGCCAAATGTCATTACCTAATAACTGCAGTAGTGACTGTAGCATGTGGGAACAGGGGAGCGCAGGAGCTGCCAGAACAGCCTGACGGTGCTGCTGCGGTAAGAGCTGCTCTTGGCTGTTCTGCATGAGTGATAGATGCTGAAGCTGATCCAGGTCGTAGTGATAGACCCATTTGCCTGTGTGTGATTTTTTTTGTCTTAGGAGGGGGCTGTGGGTAGAGGGGTTTATTGTCATTTTACAGTCACCAGCTCACCGCACTTTTAGACAGGTGAAAATTAAATACAAAAGTAATTTCTATTTCTAAAAGTGCTTAATTAAAGAAAAAATATTTAAAGAAAAGAAAACTGTTTTCTGTAACCAAGGTAATTCTAACTCCAACACATAACTAAAATAATATCTTCACACTAGAAAGACAGAGAAAATGCTCCTTTATTTGATCATGTTCTATTGCTAAGACTCTTTCTTGGTGTTTGGACAAGGTTGGAGGCAGTTCCAACCAACAGGATGTAGCCTTTGTATATTTACCAATGTATAGTGATCAAAGGGATAAAAGTGAAGATAAAAGCTGTTAACAGATGTGGCAGGATGCAAGTACAGCTCTGATTTGTGTAATTATTTAAGAATAATTTCATTATTTGGAAACAAGACATGAGAGGGGATTTACTGGGTCTGTTGCAGTGAAACAAAAAGATAAAGTAGTAACGGTAATGGTATTATAAAATTATGAAAATTCCTGAGACTGCTATGGTCTCAACTATCAACGTGTTGGTACCACAAGCTGCCATTATTGTGTGTCTCATGGGAGTAGAATTATGTTCACACTACTTCAAATAAACTTTGAATTTTATGGGGGAGAACTAATCCAAAACAGTTCTCGTCCTAGAAGTTCCTCTCATTAGGTGAAACACACATAATACCATCAAAGCATCACACGAAAAGCACCCTAGAATATTTCCATGGTTTAATTCCATTTTTATCTGCTAGCGTCCAGATCTCTTTATTCTTTTACTTCTATTTCCAGTTTTTCAGTGGAAAGCTTTAAAAGTCTGACAGATGATTTGGTCAAGCAGAAAATTCTGCAGTGGAGAAGGTTCTACAAATGTATTTTTCAGTTGTACGTTCTCCTTCTGCAGTTCCTTCATAGCAGCAAAAGGTAAAAGAAGAGCCAAAAACAATCCACTTCTGGAGGACTGAGATTAACATAAAGACACACTAGACTTTCTTTAAATGTAAAACAAAACCCTCGTCTTCCTTCCCCTCTTGTATCCTCCAGCTTCTATGTCGTCAACGTAAACTGATGTGAAAAGTTGCCAAAATCCAGAGCCACACTCCTTTGTGTTGAGCACAGCCTTTTACTTTAGGGTTCCCACTCCAGCCTACTCAATCAATCCACACATTTTACAGCTTTTCTTCATTAATAGCTTCTAATTGGCCATTGGGCTAAGCTGAAAAGAGTGAAGCATTGATTTCCTTAAACATAATCACCTCATCCAGTCATTTAATGGCTGCTGTCACTGTGGGCCACCGAGAGAATAATGACCAGTCAACAGTCCCATCGATGCCCTTCACCTCGCCTCACCAAAGGCTATTGTGTGCACTCAGACACTTTATCTTAGCAGGTTGATTTAACCCCTTCTGCTGCCTGACGGGCTCCAAGCACCACATCCATCAACCTACACACACGTCTGGGGCTGTCCTTACTGTAAGCCTCACTGTACCAGTTACCTTGCGCAGTGCAGCATAAACAAATCCATTAGGAAAATATCTAACACTGTACTCTGCCCTGAGTACCTACCTGAACGGGATTGTTTCTAATTCAGTTGGCCATTAGTTGTAAGTGGCTATCCTGATTGGTCAGCTGTAGCCATAGTGAAGCCATTTACAGTGTTCACTCCTCCACTGACCATTTGGTTAATGGTGATCATGCCTGATGTCCAACTGTCACCGACCTGACAGCTGGACTTTGATTTAAGGTTCAAATACAACCTGATATACAGTTCTGTTTGTGGTACAGTACACTGACGTACGTGAGTTCTCACTCCAAGCCATAAGGAAATGATTTTATTTTGGAGGTTTGTTTCAAACCTTCAAAGACAAATGCTTAACAGACTTCTGTGGATATATGCTGTACAGACGGTAAGAATGTGGACATTAAAGTCCATACACTATTCTGTATCACCATGTAAACTCCTGACTAAGACTTGAAAGCAGGTCACAGGTCAGAAAGCTGTTGGTAAAATATTCAATAACCACACTGTGGGGTTTAGGGTTTTAGCACACTCAGGAGATTCTTCTCCTCACTTTTATAGTCTGTGTTCTGCCTCATCCTCATCCTCCTCCTGGCCAAGAATATCTAACACTGAACTAACAGTAACACTCAGAGAGTGACATTAATACTGCACGACACAGCGCTCCAGCAGGACTACAAATGTTTGCCTTTTTAATCCAGGGCTCTGCAGCCTTTGGTCTGGCCTGTGCTGACAGTGATGAGGATGGAAGAGGAAAAGTGTTGCAGAACTTGTCTAGGCCGATGCAGGAAGCGCCGTTCTGGAATTCATGACCTGAGCTGTTCTCAAATATTTGCGCAACAAATCCAGTGAGAAAAACACACCCGGCGTGTGCTACATCTAATCACCAGCGGGGCGCGATGCGCTCCTTACTGTAAACCCCGGGTAGAGCGAAGTGAAACACGGCACCAGGAAGATGGGAAGTGGCATCTTTCTTCCCTTCTTCTTTTCTCCCCTGCTTTTTTCCCTCTTTTATTTCCCTCTCCTCTCAACTTCTCTGTCCTGGGATGAGCTCTAGTTTAATTGTTGGATGCTGGTGTCTGTTGCAGTGGCTGTCACAGGAAGATAAAGAGTTTTTCCTGGGGCACAAGGAAAGGAGAGTGCAGTGATGAAGGGCCTCTCTCCTGCAGCTCCGCTGGCTGCATTAGCCTCGTGCTTTATAATTGTGTGAAGGGGGCACTTGCACTGGCTCCCTCATTACTCACTGGCATGGCCAGTCCCTGGCAGGTAGACACACCTTGTCCTCTAGCCTTCTTCCTTTCTCTCTCGCTCCCCTCTTTTTCTGTGCCTCTGTCTCATTTCAGGTTACCCCCGAGTTCCATCACAGCCCGTCCCTCTCCTGGGCAATCCTCCCCATTGTTATTTTGACAAAACACTGCCACCGGCACATATTGCCTCTTCTTTTCCCTGACTTAATTTGACTTCCTACTGTGTAGAGCGCACCGTATTGTTCAAAGTTTGCTATGACTGATGTCCACCGTGCTACAGTGTCATTGCCTTGGTGTTTAACTTTTGATGAACAAGTCAGTCATGGTGTATGTGAACGCAGCAAGATGTGAAACCAGCTGCTTGAACTTTACCCTTTTTACATAACATTGTTATCTGTTGGAGTGAGCATGAGTTTTCATGCTTTGTGTAAAAGCGGCCATCCGTACAGACCAAACCATCAACCAGATGCAATGCAAAAACATTGTCGGGGGTCTGGGGCAGGTGGTGCTTGAAAATCCTCACCTTGTTCAACATAAGGAATGACCAAAAGGTTTGAGAACCAGTCAGTGTAGAGTGACAGTGGATGGTCATGAAAGAGGATTCATTAAATAATTAAGAGAGGTTCATTAATTGCTGATGTTTGTGTGTGCAGTCATTATCATTTAAAGCACTAAAATGAATAAGAACTCGAGGAAGTCCATGATTAACAATAATCTCCTGATTTTTTTTTTTTTAACTCAGAGACGTTTCCCTCTAAGTAGACCAACCAATGACTTCAAAGCATCTCCATGAATTTTTAAAAGTGCAGTATCATCACAGTAAAGCACAGGAATTGCTATGCAGACCAGGTTCTCTGAGATCCATCTTTTGGATCCTGTGACGATGCCATAAAAATGCCAGGATCAGCCACGACTGGATAACAGGTGTACTATGTGATCTTCATGGTGGATTGATTTATATGGAATGAGGTTGGCCAGCAGTGAGTGGAAGACCATTAGATGACATAATTGAGATGCCTCGAGGGATGATTAGTAAATCGTACTTACAGCTCTCAGTCTGGGTTAGCAGGAGCGTGCCTCACATTCATGTGAGGTAGTTGAGTTCCCTCCTCTTTTATTCATATCCATGCATCATTTAGATTTTTCATGTTGAATTGCCTCTGTTGTCAGTGGAGGCTTCAGGTAATATTTAACAGTATGCTTCCTGTTACATTCTACCAACCTCATCCTTCTGCATCTGTGTGTTTCCAGAGGGAGGTACGTGCGAGGTGATTGCTGCCCACAGATGCTGTAATAAGAACCGCATCGAAGAGCGTTCACAAACTGTCAAGTGTTCCTGTTTACCAGGGAAAGTGGCCGGGACAACACGCAACAAGCCCTCCTGTGTGGATGGTAAGGACCTCGATTTTTAATGTTTGTCGTTACAGACTCCTAAGACCAGAAACACAAGATCTTTTTGACACATTTGCTAAATGGAATTTTTCCTTCAGAAAATACCTGGTGCACCTAAATGCCCTCAATTCTTGTAGACTGCAGTTTTGTCCTACTGAAAACTACATGTCATAAAAAAGGCTTCACTTCACACCAGCATTCTTAAAACCCTATAATTCAGGCATAATCATACTAGTAAAAACGTATCTTCACATATGCAGGCTGTCCGTGCTTTTGTTACTGATTAAGCAACATTCCATCACAGATGCTAACTGTTCCACTTTTTATTGTCAAGGGGTTACATTATATTTTATTTGTTTCTTTTAAACAAGCTGGAATGTGGACTCCTTCGATTCTCGAACAGGCTTCTGAGAAATTCCCTTAAAAGATTTAAAAAGTTCTTTATTGGTTTTGGGTAGCAGGATTTTTGAAGATCAGTTTGACAAATAAAACCATTTTAATATTTCTGGGGGAGAGGGGCATTTTGAATTTTTGTTGGACCTTGTATGTCTAAATAAAACATTTCTGTGATTGTTGGGGAATTACGAACAAACCATTCTTAATTCTCAATAACAATGCTATTGTTAAAGAGTGATGTAAGTTGGTGTTTCTAAATTCTGGCCCAGTGTAAGACTCATACAATGGGGTCTGACCAAGCAGCACACTTACACAGAAATAATGGATTCTATGAATTCCTCTTTTGGGGGTGTGTGACACAGACAAAGCATTTCTGTAAAAAAACAAAAAACAAAAAAAAAAAAAACTTATTTTTCACAAGCATACAGCCAAAGTCATGTTTTATAGTTACAGAATATACACTGTCCCACAAGGTGCATTTTCACAGTGTGATCCTGGTCTTTGTTTTGAAAAAAAAAACACATACTGTATGTATGGTTTAATGAGGAATAGCATCACATTCTCTGTCAATTCTAATTAATATTTAACAGTACAATATGGATTTGTTTTGATGTAAATGAGGGAACAGATTCTCGTTACTGTGTTGTGTTTCGAACTGTTCTTAAATATTCACCTGCCCTAATAAACCCCCCTAAGATCAGGGTCATATCAATATGCAACATCTTGGCTTAATACATTTTTATTTCCTGTAATAAAACCACATTATTCCTTCGAGGACCCAGCAGCACAATGCTGCCGGGTATCATGGGAGACCAAAAAAGAGCCAGTCGGACCACGAGCACCTGAACAAGGAGGATGTTACCGACCACATAGCCCAAGGCTGCAGGGGCTGTTGGAAATGAATAACTAATAAACATGAGTCAGGGAAGCTCCAGGCTAGTGCACCTGAATTACTATAGCTGGAAAAAAACAAAAAACAATCAGGCTGTGGGACACCAGCTCCATAATGTAAGAAAGAAAGGAAGGAAGGGAAATCACAAGTCCACGCAGCAGAACACTGCTGCCCCCTTGCACCTCGCAGAGCTCATTTCTTGCACCTCAGCCTTCATCCTTGCACCTACACCTTCAGTCGAGATCAGAGTCATCGCTCTGACCGCCCTCACACCAAGACATCACAGCAGAATACATTCATTATGAGGGATGTTACATGAAAGGCCAGGCAGGTCTGCTCAGTGTGCTTCACAGGGTTGGTTAGTCACAGCTGACACTGAGGAAGATCTCAGAATAAGAATTTGATACGATGTATGAATGTCACCAAAGAACGTCTCCTGAGGGCATGATAAATTAGGTGTGTAGTAGGATGTGTGTTGGTGCATGCTGTTACAGTATAGGTTTCACAGTTCAGTACATGCAGGAGAAATACTTTTGAGTGTGAGGATATGGAAGCTGCTGGTAAATTCAACCAGTATCAGTGACGGAGCGACCATGTTGCTAAGCTTTGTTTTACTCAAAATCAAAATCTCAGTGGACTAGGTTCATATGTTATTAAACATATTGTCATTTTAGTCAAATAATAATTAAAAAATACACATGTTAATTATAAAGTCCTATTAAATCTGCATAAAATTATTTTTCAAAAGACAGCACTTCTGTTACAGTGATGTCTGTGAAAAAACTTCTTTGTGGATAAAGACTTACTTTCAGTGAAGAGCTGAAATTTCTGTCCTTGAGCTTTTTGTAGAAAAAATGATGTTGTGTTTGCCCTTTGGTTAGAGATATCTCCTGAATGAAACATTTACAGAGCTTTGACCTTGGGACTTGTTTTTTTCTTTAAGCAGACTGTCCCGTCCTTGTGTGGTGAGGCAGACACTGTCTTGCTGTGAATAATGGACGGCGGTCTTTGTACTCGTCAAATAGATTTTCTATTCCGAGCCTTTGTCACTACATGTTGTCTAGACAGATCTCATAAAAAGAAAACGTAATCAGTCTGAGGTATTTTTTGACCAACAACAAGTTCAAGCTACATCATAATCACTCCTGTTTAATTAGATAGTGTTCAAAAAAGTACTTAAAAAGGGGAGATAAACGTCACACTGCTGATGGCATGAGAAACACATTTTTTTCAGTATTGGTTCTCTCTTGTGTGATTTTACTAATGGTTCCATCTACAAAGTTTTTTTTTTTGTTGTTTTTGTTTTTTTTTTTTGTTTACCACAGACAGACACAAGGTCATTGAATGGTGAAAGGCTTATTTAGCACCAAATTTTGATTTTGAAAGTGGTATCTTGGTGTTGTATTTGAATATGTATTGGAGCCTTTCACTATTCTCTTCTTCTGGTGTTTCTTAGTTCTTTAGGTTCTTGATTCAGAAAAACAACTTTTGGAACAAATATAAAATGTATAAACTTGTCTTTATTTCTTATTAAATGACTTGCAAAAAGATATTTGCTGCAATATCTTTATGACAGTATTAGTCATTTGGAAAGTATGTCTAAGGAAGGAGGCATCTGCTGGCTCACAGTGGTACTGCACATTTGCTTTTACATTTATGAGTGATTGAAAACAATGAACTAAAAGCACAAACTGTATATGCAGTATGCAACAGCAGGCAGTTGGTAATGTAATTGCAGTGGGATGCAATCTTACTGGAGCACTGAGCAGAATAGCCTGATATGACACTGAGATCATTAAGGAACGGAGCAGCTTTGTTAGTGAGGACGTTCGGCAGTTTCCTCATTTGTCCAAACAAACTCTTTGTTCCTTGTTTTCCACCTGATTCATTGTAGACGGAGTGCAGTTTGCATCAATCAGTCTAGAAAACAGACCCATATGGGTTTGTCTTAAGGTTCCGTGTGTCCTTCACTAATTACCCACATGTGGATGAAGGACAACTGGTAACCACATGTGGCCCACACTAATTCCTCTGTTTATGACAATGCACAGTTTGTGCCCATGCAGAGACTTGTAGAGCCCATGTGGCCGATCTGGTGGTAAATTATGACAAATGAAGGTAAAACACACACGATAGCCCAGTAACGAGGAGCAGTAAAAGAAGCGGATATTTGAGGGAGTTTTAGAGAAACACAGTAGCTTGGGCTAGGGCTGTAAAAAGATGAACATTTTTGGTTGGATCAATCACAGAGCAGTCGTGGATTAATCGTAATTAATCATGATTAGTCAAGACAAATCCACATCCCAGACGTACCTTCTGCACTGGTGGAGGTTAATTTAACACAATCCGAGCGTCTGTGTGGAGTCTCAGCAAACACATGGCGTTGAGATGGTATTTTAAGCCTATAGTTTGTTGTGGGAAAGCAAACGTGTCCAAATAATCTCGTGTGTCTCAGCAGTGTATTGGTGTGACATGGATGAATGGTGGAATTATGGGAAATGTACAATGCGCCAAATGCGCTAAAATTTTAATCTGATTATTCCTCACCCATCAATTTATGTGATTAATCGTCAATATCGTCAGCCGTTTCTGAAGCATAAAAAAAGAAAAATAAAGGATGTTTAGACTCCATGCTTCAACCTTGTTTCTGCCTCCTCCTGCTAGCGTACTGTGGCATAATTGTATTGATAATCCTGCCTCATAGAAATAGCGCTGAATAAATGAGAGATGACAAGTCAATGAGCAGAAAGCTGTGGCACTGGGTGTTAATGCAACACCCTGTAAGAGCAAAAGGAATCACACCTGGTTTCTCATTCATTTTTATCACCATTTGTTATTGGTTATGAATGTATGTCAGGGCAAAAGTAATATGTTAATAGGAGCTAATTTTGGCTTTAGGGCTGTCATCTGCTGCAATAACACCAAGTTTTCTTTAGGTAGAGATACATAAACACCAGAGGTCAAACAGCACTGCCGCATCAGACTGTCTAGGAATCTTATTTCTGAATGTGTGTGTTTGTCAACTGGTCCCCATAGGTTAACGCTGCACTGTGAGGGATTACAGACTTTTGTTGTCACTGGTTTGCCCCCCTAAGCAGTGCACTGGCCTGGCCCAGATGGAGCTTTCTCCCCAGGTCTCAGCATTATTAATGTATCATCCAGATAAGAAATCGTGCTGCAGCCCAACTCATCTCATCTCGCAAACCCCCTGGGGGACACCTACTGCCACTGTACCATACACAGGTTATGTACCCAGAAGAAAACAGAAGGAGTCAGAATAAAAATAAGACGTTTACCTTCAGAGGTCACTTGTTTTGGACACAGAGCCTGGAGGACTAAATACCAAATTTCTAGCAAAAGGGTCAGGCTTTGTTTTCTTACTTTCTTCAGACTTAGTGTTGTCAACCTCCACCAGCACAGCATGGCCAATACCTCCGCCAATGTGTGTTATTGAAAGAGGCTGCTCTTTGGATCTACAGGAGGTCGAAAGCAGCACGGTGTTATAACGATGCCTGCTGTAAATGTATAAAGGGGTTTCATGAAATTTAAAGCACCTATCTGGTGTTTTTACTGTTAGACACTGATGGTGTGTTTACAGATTCTTCACCTGTGCACAGGTTCTTTTGATTGTTCCATTTTCCTCACACTCCACATGGGGTAGGGTTAAGTTTATAAAGTGTGAATCTAAATATCTAAATACGATAGATTGAAC